ATGAATATAAAATTATTAAAAAAGTTATTGAAAAATGGATAACGCTACGATACAGAAAATTTTTCCCTTATTAAAAAAAAAAATCATCTTCGATCTATCATAATTACCTTTTCGCGCAACGCCATATCTCGTGAGTTGTACGGGTATCACCAAAATTCGGTTAAACATGTTTCGAAATGTCGTAATTTTTACAATTTTCTTCAAATTTAAACATAACACGCTTATAATAAAATAATAACTACTGCATTAATCTAAATATTTTTTGTTAACGCAAAATTCTACTTAATTTCTATTAAACTGAATCTCGTGTTGAACATTATTCTTGTCTGGCCAAATAATTTTGTCCACATATAACTGGATAAAAACTAAAAAACACGTCAAAAAATATCAAACGTCTGCACATAGCGAAAAAATCCACGTCTAAAAAGTCTAATACAAATAAAAAACTTAAATAAAAAAAAAATACTATTATAATATTTTGCTCGAATTTTAATATTTTTTTTTTATTAAATACTACATATGATTACATCTCGAGTTCATTTTTCAAACACGTTGATGTTGAACAAATCAAAAATTATATTCACATAAATCGAGAAAAGTACGCGGATTGTTGGGATTTTTACGATCTCCGAAAAAAAAAAAACATTACAAATTTAGTGCTAAACATTTATCCTTAAGTTTTAAATTAATTGAAAATTGTGTAAAAGCATTTCTGCTTGGCCAGAACAATTTTTTTTCGAATAAAAAATCAAATAAAAACCAAAAAACTCGAAAATTTCAAATCTTTATAATTAGTTTAAAAATTAACAAAATATTTTGTTTAATTTTCCCAAGTTTGTAAAAAGTAAATATTAATCTGTGGAAATTTGAAGTTTCTTTGATTATTTTCAGCCTAATTTTTTTTTTTTAAAAAAAAAACATACATCGTATATATGGGTGGGTCACTGTTGTAGGTGAGAAGTTGGGAACGAAGAGGGGAAATTTAATGTATATTTGTTTAATATTGTTTTCTATTTTTCCGTTTCTTCTACGTTTCTTCCCGGGTTTTCCCATGTTTTATCCCAATTTTTGGGAAAACGCCTCGGTAAATCAAAAAATGATTATCTAAAGTACCATACTAGTCAGATTTCCTTACAGAACAAGTGATATCATTGTTTTTCGGAGCAAAATTGCCGGTAGAAAAGTTGTCCATAAAAAAAAAAATTATAAATAAACATCATTATAAAACTTGCTCCGCTAAAAAATTAAAATAGAAAAATAATTATAATTATAATATTATTGTTCTAACGGTATTTTTTTTTTATTTTTGTTGCAGGTAATTTTTGAAAATCATAAAGATCGTATTTGTGTAGTGCTCTCACCGCAGCGCCGCGCTGGTGATTGGTTGTGAGCAGCACAGTCGCGATATCTGCTGACGAACGTAAATCACTTGTTTTTGATGGTTCGATTACCAAAAAAAAAAAAACTCTAAAATAATGAAACCGTTAATACCATAGACTTTTCCGTTGTTTTATCCCGGTTTTTCACATTTATTAAGCAAACTACAATAAGAGCATAAATAAATGACCTCCCCAATCCATCAACTAGACCGGTGTTTCTCGATATTTTTATTTTTTTGTACGACGACCCAATTTTAATCCATAAAAACACACATTCGACCACACCGGTCGAGAATCACGGAACCAGACAACTAGCTAGCTTCCGGAAAATTCTCTTCACTCGATAATCGAAGGAATATCGTATTGATATTGAACAGTTGTTAACAGACAGAGGAAAAAACCACACACGCACATCGTAGTAAAACCAATACATTCCTGGCTGTGTCCTATATCTAAAACTAAAAACCTGGAAAGTCATCGTCGATTTATTGACAATAATATTGTAATATTGTGGCGATAACGAAAACGGGTTCATAACAAGGGGGGCGAAAGATATTACAATATGTTTAGGCACTCTCGTGCCTAAGATAACCTCAATATTCCTGAATATTATCATATAATATCACTATTATTATATGATAATAGTTATTATCGTTAAATTTTAGTAAACGTAATTATTGTTATTATTATAATTAATGTTTTCCGTAGTTAATTCCAAGCGTGTACCGCGGTATACCGCGTGGTGTAGCCGCGACTTGTAATTTTGTCTATGGCACGTGCCTATTATATTATTACGAATTTGTAATTAAAAGTATTGATTTTGAACGAGTAAGTACGCATACCGGCAGTAGCGTTCCGTTATAAATAATACACGTTACTCACAGTACTTGTACAGGGTGTTGTGCTTTAGACCGACAGTGATTTGAATTCACTTGCATAAATAATATCTACTAGTGGCTGAATGTAATTTATATGTCATTACTTTATTAGGTGTCCAAAAAATAACAGTTACAACTATTAAGAAAACTTTTTTTTGTTTTGTTTTGTTTTTGTTTTTTTTGCAAAAATTATATCCAGTTTTTAATATTTGTATTGGTTAACATACGTCGACCAACACGCGTCAACCAGTTGACGCGTGCCTGAACGCAAGTGTCATATTATATGTTTTACTCGGTTTGTTTATATTTTACAGTGGCATCGTGGTAACGTCTTGTATCTCGGTCACCTCCACGGTTATCTTTAGTTAATTACCAGGTGATTCATTTAAGTGGGTACACTCATTATCTCGGAAAGTATTAATTTTTTCTGGATTTTTTTCTTCTAGAACATTTAAAAAACAAGCTGCTCTACAGTTTTATATTCTTTTTATTTTTTTCACCCTTATTTTGAGGGGTAAAACCACTATCTAATTTTGATTTTCAAACGGCAACCTATATTAAAAAGTCCATAAATAGATGGAGTATTAGATATAATCAATTTTAGTGTTGAAAATTTTGATTTCCGTTGATTCGTTGACGATATATTCTACTTTTAAGTTTTGGTTGGTGAAGAATAGTGGAGTGTCATTTGTATGGCGGTACGGCGCGCGACGTGTTATTAATGTACCACTACTCTCCTTTAACCTAAAATTAAAAATGTAATATCTCGTCAACGGCTTGACAAAAATAAAAAATGTCAACACTCGAATTTATTTTAACCAATACTCCATCTATTTATAGAATTTTTAATATAGGTGACAAAAAAAAAAAAAAATAACATAAATATAAAATTGTAGAACTAGTTGTTTCTTAAATGTTCTAGAATAAAAATTCTGAAAAAAGTTTAAGACATTCCGAGATAATGTTTCACATTCTATATTCTATGAACGGAGTTGTATTCTATTTAGTGAACATTATTAATTTTAACATTCAAATGCAATTTGTACTATACATTCCAGTAAATAATAATAATAAATTACGAACACAAGAGTCGAGATTGCTAGTACAGTTTTTTTTTAAATAAAGAAATGGTAATTTATAAAGGCATATTGCCAGCATTTTCTAGCAATAAAATATTTCGTTATTCAACGTATCACTCGTAGAATTATGACAGTTTTAATTTGACCGAAATTTAACTTAACCTCAATACTCAAAATTGAATTGAAGTGAGATACACCAAAATGTAACTCATTATTTAATTCAATTAATATTAACTATGTATTAAATATTGACACGGCATTGCTCAGCCTTGTTATTTTTACTATTTTGTTATTTTTAACAGTTTTCCATATTTTGACCGGTCAATTTGCTGGTTAATACTTGGCTAAAAACTAATCTTAGTTTTAAGTATAAAAAAGCTAAGTATAATTTAATTTTCCCGGAATAAACTCCCTGTACTTAACGTTGATTGTCCTTTTTGTTTAAAAATGAAATTCGTCAAACCTACGTTTTAATAATATATTGTTAATTCGATAATTTCACAAAAAACCACAATTAAATTCAACTAAACCGAGGTACACAATTTGATTAAATTTTCAAATGAATTAACTTAACGTATTGGTTAATAAAACAATATTTACTTTTAACGTTTATTTGGTTAATTTAACTTAACCGAGTTAGTATTATCCCCATGGACTCGTCCAGCTTTGGTATTTATAACGCGAGTTAATAATATAATTAAATTCTTCGCACGATATATTGTTTAACCAAAACACGTAAGTGTAATCAACCAAAGGGTTACTAATTTAATCAATGGATATAGAAGAAAAAAAGGCTCTCAAGGATGATAATAATAATAATAAAAAAAATTTAAAAAAAAATGTATATACATAGATACGCGGTTTGTTTTCGTTTTCATATCTGCAGTTTAGCACAAAAATAACATTATTATAATAATGGAGAACGAACATTTGCGGAATATTGTGTAAGAGGCAAATAGGCACACGAGCGAAACTATTGAAATAATTATCATGCCGTTTGTTTGGAGAATATATATATATATATAATAACACAACGCAATAATTTCGGAAATAAAATCATTAAACACGTTGTTACTCGCTGAATTGTGGCTGTGCGTGTACAATAAACGTGTTGAACGGAAACGATATTGTCGTATTGAATTGGGTGGAACGTGCTTTATTCATTATAATATTATACGAGTACTACGTTAACGTAGCGTTATAGTAATTAGTGGAACTTAAAATTGTCTACCGTTTTGTACAGGATGAACGTCTTTGAATAACGTAGAACTACCGTCATTATCGGTTAGAAAGTATTAACATTTTGGCAAGCAAATCTATAAGATGTCAACACTTGTATTTTTACGTTGCTCTCACTTCGCTCGCCCTTGTTATTTGGTGACGAGCGGTGAGAAACCATCACCGTCTGCAGTCATCTAAACGCTACCATCACAACGTGTATACAGTGTTCCATATGGACAATTTATAATACATCGATGAAGTTTTAGTTGAATTGTTAGATTTCGGTGTTCGGAATTTGTGTAGATTCCATTGACCCGTTTTAATTGGTCAAAAAGTGTCATTAAAATAATCAAATTTATCACTGTACTTTTCGGGATACTAAGAATTCTGCGTAAAAATAATCGGCCTCTAATAAATGTTTAATAGAGTTTTCGTTTTTTTATGGCAGTAGTAACAACTATATTTTACTCTGATCATCTGCATATGTAATGCATATTTACGACGATTGTTTTTACTTTTTTCAATTTTCATCTGCAGTAATATTGCTATCGGTTTCGTGCATAAATAATGAAATATGAAATATTGAAAACTCAGTATTATAATAAATGTATGTGTTTATTGTTTAGTCGAATCAAAAGTAAATATTAAAATATATAATAATCTTAAAATTTTAATGTGCGTTAACTATAGTAAAATCATTGTTTTTTTTTTTTTTTTCATTAGCTTGAGATAACTTCAAGGTTAGACGAAGACGTCTCCAACGTTGAACTTTTCTCGATTACGGAAAGAGTTGACGACGATTGAAACGTAGACGAAGACGATGATTCAGAGATTATTTGGAAGTATGATGATTCCAATTTAATCTGTTCTTCGATCAATTTGGTCTGGTCAATGTAGATTAGATTGGATACATCGTATCCGGTATAAGCGATTGATTGGGTGATCTCATCGATTTGATCTTTCGATAATATTCTGTCCCTGGTCAAGACGTACATTTGGTTCTTGTAATCTTGGTCTGTAAATAAACACGTTATTCATCAGAATCAAAAAATAAAACATGAAATAAGGGGTTTGGGATAACAAAGCTGTTATACTAACCGTTTACGTTGTTCTTAAACTGGTTTTGCACGTACAAAGCTAAATACGAGTCGGGTTTGTATGCTGCAATTGCGGCCATATATTTATCACGGTCTGTAAGTAAATTGACAACATTTTGTAAACGAGCGTTTAAAATAACAAATAATTAGTCAGGTACTGCATTTGAACCCATAAAATATACTACTTACATATGTCGCCGGGAGATTTGCTAATGACATCACTGTAATCGAAAGGATTAACTTCTGATACGGTGCTCGTGTCTATAATATGTATTTACACGAAAACAAAATAAATATTAAAGTATTTAGTATTTAGTGGCATTTGGATAGTTATTATAGTGGTGGTGAATCTTACAATATCCTTCGGTGTAGAAAATGTATGTATTAAACTGGCAAGATTGGTCGTAGGCAGATTGAACGATGGTTCTCGTCTTATCCACTTCACCGGTGCTGCAATTTTATTACGCGATAGTATTTGGGTCAGTATACAATTGATAAAAATCTCCGATAGGCTTTTTTTGTTTGTCTATAGAGTATAGTATTATTAATTATATTTACATCACGTTTAAACCTCCGTCCATCATCATGTATTGTTTGGACGAACTCCAATCGGTCTGGTCAAATTCTTCGAACTGTACGTACAAAGATGCCGACGGGAATAACGTATCTACACGAATCGATAAACGTTTATGCAATTAATGAGAGTTTTTTAAAAGCTAAAACTAATGTAAACAATATTGCGTTCGGGCGGATAACACGTACTTAAGATACCGGCTTTTCCATCGTTGCCACATGACATGGGTAAGGCCATATTGACGTAGTATTTTCCGCTGAAAGCCCTTCTCACCTATTCAACACAAAATAATTCATTATATTATCGGTATTATGATACTATGTTATAAAACGCTAATAATATTAAATTATTCTGATACGCGGCTATGCGGAAAATAATAATTATTTTTCCTCACTTCCGATGGCGGCAAATTTTCTAGGATTTTGATGCCTTGGGAATATTTGTAGACATCGAGTTGGTACGGCGACACATAGTCCGGTTTTAAAACGACATTGAAGGGTGAGACTGATGTGGTCTCGACGGTGGTTTGTTTCGTAGATAAGCTGCTCAAGCTGGATGAGAGACCGTCTGAGGACGTGATCTTCTCTTCCCTTTCTTCAGTTTTGATGGTGGTCTTTTGTACTACTCCGTTGATATCGTCTTGCGAGACCGTCGGTATCGAAGACAAATCGATCGATTGATCGACGTTCATCAAACCGTATGGATTCAAACCGCTGGCAATGATGTCATCGTAAGCCTTTTTGTATGTTGAGTAATCGGGGTTTTCGCTTCTGGTGAACATCCATAAAATGTAATCATCGGGTCCTAGAAATAGTGAGTAAAAAAATGAGTTAATATACATTTTTTGATTATGACTTTTTCTACAATCGTTAAAAAAATTGATGATATTATACACAGAATGTTCGCTTTTATATATAGATATGTATATACCTATATATAATTAACTATATTACTAACTGGTGATATAACGTGGATTTTCAATCAGTCATTTAATTCAATGCTCCGTGAGCCTAATCGTCCACTTTTATATCGTGATAACTGTTTTATCTGTGTTATATTATTAAAAATTATGGTCTTGGTCATCGTGGTATTAATGGTAAGAAAACAGATACAACTACAGTTATCACAATATAATATAATGCCTATATGATAAGACCATGGATCTCGAAGTAAATAGCTACCACGTGGCTTCAACCAAAAGCATCAATGAGATTTGGCAGTTAGCAATCCTATACTTTAGCATATTATAAATTTGTATGTTCACTGTTCATATACCATACATATTATTGGTAATTTTTTAAATTACTTACCGCTGAATATGTTGTTGTATTTGTTGACAACAGCGAAAACAAGATATTCCGACCAATCATCATCGCCGCCGATAACGGCCACCGTGTATTGTCTTTCGTCTGTAATATTACAATATTGTTATGTGTAACGAACATAAAATGTTAAATTATTCAATATCACTTACATATATTGTCGAGTTTGTATCTGACTTCATCTTTGTCATCAAACGGATTTGTTTCGGGGATTGGCTGCGAATCTGAAAAACGAATTGAGTTATAATATTAATTTGTACTGTCAATAAAATTGATGATTAGTGATTTGTTATTTAGAAATTCCTGATAGATTTGTAAAACGAAAACAAAATACAGTAAATTTGTGCGATTGTCTTGGAAATAATCGGTCAAGTTTGGCCGTATAGATAATAATTATTGGCTTACAGTATTTCGGTACGCAGACGTTGAACAAGGCAAGGTTCGTCGATGGGTACGCTGCTTTGAACAGACCTTGTACCGTTTCGACTTGTTGGGTGCTTGAAAAAAAAATCGGTTATTAATTGTTATATGTATTGTTGTATTTATAAATTTCGATTTTTTTTCGCTCGGAATAAGTTTTTAAATTTTAAATTGAATGTTCTAGCTAAACCCATTTGTTTTAATATACTTACAGAAGATTAAAAGACGAGTCCAACCAGTAATAGTCCGTGTTAAAGTCATTATTATCACCCGGAGTAGTGTCCAAGAATATGGATCTCATTTTGGTGCACGGGAATAAGTCGGCTATAATAAAAAATATAAGTTTAGAAAATAACTATAAAATATTTTCGTTTGTCGAGTGAGATATTTCACGTCATACCAAACAATCCAGTTTTAACCGGGCTTAAGCCATTTATTTTCGTGGGAGTTGCAAGTTGGAGATTCCACGTTCCTTGGAAATTAATTGTTCCCTAAACATTTTAAACGACGATTATTTAGTTTTTGCTTCGCATAAGTTATAAGTGGTTAAAAATCAATTTTAAATACACGGACAAGGCGATTAAAATACAATATATTTTTTTTTCTAATCATATTTAAGACGAGTACCACCGTATATTGAATTTTTTAGAAAAAATAAATAAATATGCTTTACAATTACATATTATTATTATATTTTTTTTTTTGTGAATATATTTATTGAAGGAACCCTATGTGTTAAACTGATTGAAATGCGATTAAATATTGATAATTGGTTGAATATTATAACCTGTATATTACGAACCTGTTGGCTATCGAATGTTTTCACTTGCCATGCTGGTGGGATTGATGAGGGGCAGGAGCTCGGTGGCACTATTGGGCCAAGGCCTCTAGGACTTACACCGTTGGGATAGGTCGGTTGTGATAACGGGCCTATGCCTCCCAGTGGGCTGGGTGTGCCAATTGGGGAATTTGGTGTCGAGGGCGATATTGTAGGACTGGGATAGAAAAACGATTTGTCGAATGTATAGTCGTCATCGATTGTATTTGTTTGATCCGTATGGACCAGGTTGCTCGGGAGGTATCCACTGCGAAGGATTTCTTGAGTAATGTCGTCGTTGACAGATTTCGGTACAATCCTGTCTTTGGTAAAGACATAGAACGGGTTGACGGGGTTGTTCGCTGTTTATAAAAAAATAAAAAATAAGAATACGAAAATATTGAAAAATATGACTTATTGATCAACATAATAGTATATTATATTATAATACACTTACGGTACATTTGGTTGGGGAATTGGTTATACACGTACAACATCAAATAACTGTTTGGTTTATATGCGGCTATACCCACAATGTACTTTTGTTTGTCTGAAAACAAAGTGATAAATTTGTGAATAGGCATTTCTACGAAGTTCAAAAATAATAAAATTGACTACGTTAAAGTAAACGTTTAAGCGTACACAATACAAAACTTACATATATCAGAGGGACTTTTTATGGTTACTTTATCGTAAGAAAACGGAGTAACTTCTTGAATAGAACTGTCGTCTATAAATTTGTAAAAAAAAAAAAAAAATCAAAATAAATATTATTCATTATTATATTACGCCAATAATAATAATGTTTTATAGCGATGTTGAATCTTACAATATCCTTCAGTGTAGACCAGGACTGAAGCATACGGCGAGCTTCCGTCGTTGTACGGAAGTTGAAGAATGTTTCTTGTAATTACCTGTTCACCGGTGCTAAAATATTGTAATAAAACGAGATTATATTAACTTATTGAAACAAGACTACCTATGTTATATAATGATAATTACATCGCATTGATACTGCGTTCAGCCATCATGTATTGATCATCATACGTCCAAGGATTACTGTCGGTACCGTCGATAGTTATTTGCAGGGAAGACAACGGGAAAACCGTATCTACACAAAAAATAATAAGTTAATGTTGATGGCATTTTTTTTTCTGACTTTAAATCGTGAATAATGTAGAAAAGTTTGAAAACACGGAACTTACTTAAAAGACCTGGATTTCCATTGTCTGAACACTTTATGGGTGTAGCCGCATTGAGGTAGTATTTTCCGCTAAGAGCGCTTGCATACTGTTGAAAACATAATTTGGCAATAGTATAACGTATATTAAAAAATATATAAAAAAATATTATTATGAATTAAAATCCTTACCTGTTGGAGCGTTAGATCTCTTAAAATTTTGACGTTTCCGGACAAATCGAAGGGTTCGTATTTGAACGGTGTACTAAATGCTGGATTTACGGTGAAATCAACGGTCGAGAGGCAGGTAGTTTCTTCGATGGTAGTTTTCTTAGATGATGACGTGATTACGCCGTCGGATGAAGACGTTGACAATTCTTCCGTTTCGGTGGTTTTTTTTACAACTCCTTTGATATCGTCTTCTGTGATTGTTGGCACTGTCGTCAAATCGATCGATTGATCAACGCTAATCAAACGGTACGGATTCAAGCCGCTTGCCTGGATGTCGTCGAAGGCTTTTTTGTATGTTGCGCAACCGGGGTTCTTGGCTCTGCTGAACACCCATATAATGTGATTATCGGCTCCTAGAAATATGAGTAAATTTGATTCAGTTATTATTTTTATTTTCCATATAGGTCAATAACGTTTGATTCCTACCGCTGTTGAAAAGATTTTCATATTCATTGAGTACTACGAACACCATGTATTCTGCCCATTCACTGTCCTTTCCGATAATGGCGATTGTGTAATCACTTTGGTCTGTAATTATAGAAAGTTACATAAAACATAAATAAGTACTTCATAAGATTTACGGATTTTCGTACTCCGCGATTTCGGATAACTTACAATAACTGTCCAACTTGTATTTGACTAATTCACTGTCTTCAAACGGATTGATTTCCTTGATTGCCGTTTTGTCTAAAAAAAGGAAAAAAAAACCATTGTATTCGTTGTCAATTATTTATATAGAACGATTGATATAATATTATTTAATTATGTAACTTACAGGTTGGTTGTGTACCGATGTTGAATATGGCAAGATTAGTATTAGGATATGCTGGTCTGAAAACCGATTGGCTAGTATCGATGGTTTGAGTTCTGAAAATAATATAGTAATATTATTATTTGTTTAGTAATTATTATAGCTGTTTACAGTCTAGAATCTCTGCAGATTTCATTCAAATTTAAATACCTGCTACGGTTGTGATTTTCAAGAAATAATTCTAATGCGTTTGAAACGAACAACGAAATTTTGGAGAAAAATTATACTTATATAATGAAATTAAATAAACGATACGAAATGGCTTATATTATTTCATATTGTTCATTGTATTGCGAATTATAATCGAAATTATTGGTTGAGTTAAGTATCAAAATATTGAAAAGTATAAAATGTATCACGTGAACTGTAAATTTGAATTTTGAATGTTGTCATTATTAGTTTATTTGTTGCGGTTAGAATTTCGATTGGAATATTACAGGATCATAATAACGTAAATATCGTATAATACATTACAATATACTATACTATGTAGACACTTAAATAAATAATATCACATAATTCTAAAATCCTGAAAAATCACTAAATCGGTAATTGACGAATTAAATTTATCAAAATTTAACCTGATGCAATTTAATCATTTATATGTATAGACTATAGATTATTTTGAGCTTAATAAACGACAATTATTGTACATTTTCTTTTTTATCATATCAGACTCGTTCCTGAACGATTGTATGTTACATAATTCGGATCTTATAAAATGGTAATAATTCAACGTAATTCGAAAATTCTTTGATTTTTCTTTTACATTTCGAAACATTTAATACCGAAATTGTTATGGATACTTACATTAGGTTGAAAGATGAGTCCAACATGTAATAGTTCAAATTGAAATCGTCCTTGTTGGTAGGGGTATTATCGTAGAAAATTACTCTGTTACAAGAGCTAGGGTAGACGCTATCTGTTGGTGATTAAGAAAATCGAAATAATGATAATTTATTTGTTTAAATTTAAATAATACAAGTTTAAAATAATATTCTCAATTTACGTACAGAAAAGTCCAGTTTTTAATGGATTTGCACCGTCAATGCATGTCGGAGTGGCCATTTGGAGGTACCATGCTCCCTGGAAAGCTACGGTGGCCTACAGGAAACGTCGAAAACAGTATTAATTAAAAATGAAAAAAAAAATACAAATTAATTGGACGTTATTAGTTTATAAGCTCGTATTAATATATATGCTTTACCGTAATTTTCCCGATTTTAAATTTAAACGATCCTACTAACAGGACGATGATTTCGTTTAGTAGTCTTTAGTAATGTTTTAAACCTGTTTAATTTAAACCAAATAGAACATTCATATTTTATAGCGAAGTCCTGCACTCGCAGTCATTTGTAAGATATTGACGATCGGATACAAACGAATATAAAAATCATTGTATTATAGTAGCAGTAAGTATGTACCTATATACGCGATTTCTTGAAATTCCAAATTTGACGGGTTAAAAATTGCAGACGGGTGGGATAGAATTATACGTGTATAGTAATATTCGAATATATGGCCGAGTGAGTAGGTTCGACTAAAAATCGGATTTCAACCGAAATGGTTATTGTTTAATAGTATGAAGGGTAACAAATACGAATATTGGTGCCGTGTATCTCTATGGGGCTACTCGATTTTTATACGATTTTAATACTCGAACATTCGTCACTTACGTATTGACTAGTGAACGTCTGGACTTGCCATTGAAGCGGGACGATCTTTGGAACTGGAGTGGAAGAGCATTTATTCGTGTCCGTTTGTAACGGACATGCTAGTGCGGTCGCGACCAGAACGCTAACATAAAATACTGACGCTCTCATCCTGTAACAACACAATCGTTGGCATTATCGTTTGTTAATGATTTATCGTAAAAGCGTATTTTTTTTTTTATTAGCCTTTTTTACGATTTTGCATTATAGAGTGATCGTCGATAATCGTTCGAAATGTGTGAGTCTACAATATTATTAGAAGGTTGTTCGACGGATTTATTATTATTTTTTAATCAGCGTATAACAATATTATATTATATTTTAGATCCCGAATTTATACATTAAAAAAAAAATACCAAAATCCTATATTGTATAAAATAATATAATATGTAATGATTTACGATCGTATTTTTTAAGTGGCAATAATAAAAATAGCATTTATTAAATTCGGTAACAGAAAAAATAAAAAATATAACCAAGTGCACTAGAAACTTATTTCCGCCGGGTAAAATTACTTTACGTAGACTAGTTTTATTGGATAAATATATCGACTTAATGTGAATAGAAATGTCGAGAGTTTTACATACATAATGAAATCTATTCAAATTTAAAATAATTTAGTTTCGCATGTAGAATATTTAGAATATATATATACATATAATACAAATATAAAATTTATATAATTTTGAATATGGAGTATTTGAGTATATTTGGAATATGTTAAAAAAAAAAAAAACTAACTCACTCGATAATGTACAATATAATTATTAAAAATGTATAAGTACCTGTTAGTTGTCCTGGACCGGTTACCAACAAGACGAGCTGAAAGATGATTATCAGTGGGTCTGCACTGCGTATTTATAGTCGAGAATTTAGGTAAATATTTATTCATTTGCGTTAAAAAGTCAATCAACGTCAACCACTGTGTTTGCACGGTAATAACATTACGACCGCGGTGTCAATATATCGTATTTTGTAATATTTTAACGTGTTTGATTTCGATCGAATGTTTGCCGTGAATTGATTTGTGACAAATTGTTTGTTTGAAACAGTATAATATTCTTGATTTTTTTTTTATTATTATTTTACTCCAACGATTATAACATTAACACGGGCACATTATGTTAAATATATTTTTTTTTAACCGGTGTTTTTTAATTACCTATATGGACAATACAATAATCCATAAGTAATGGATATGTTTTGCATTATTATTACTAATTTATATTAAATTATAAATATTAACTATTTCGACGATAATTAGTTATGATTCCACGACCGGGGGAAAAGTGTACGTTAAGTTATAGAAAAAGAACACATTAAATATCTACATTATGACGTTATATATCAAAGAATAATTTCAACTTATGAACGGGTAGGTCACTGATGGGTGTGCTACTGTTTCAAGCGGGAATTTGGAAGGGAGAAGATATATTTTCGGTTGATTTAATTTATATCTGTACGTTATACTGAGCTCATATTTGCTCACGAATATTCAGTAATGATAGTCGGGTAGGGGATCTAGTGAGAAATCGTTTTGTTTTGGACGATCTTTTGATCATGTGGCCTTTAGCTTTCTGATTTCTGTTTCCTGATTTTCCCCGATTAGTTGTGTTGTCCTTGTGCCTCGCCACACAAGACTGTCGCAACTTAATAACCTGATTTTCTTTTGTTGCAACTATATCAGCGTTTTTTAACATATTTTTACTTCCTAGATAGCTCTTCGTTGTGTTCTTGTATTCTACCGCAGATACCATCGTAGGATATTTTTTTCCAAACATTGTCAAGCTTTTTCTTCGATTTTTTCGCTGTGCACATTTAACGTGCATTGGTACGAGTTTAATCCAATAGAGAATGGCTTCCTTAATGGCTGTAAAGTAGACTTGAATATTATTCTTAAGATTTTTAAAAGTGTTTACATATTATAGAATACATATTAATTGACATATTTGAAATTATCCTAGTTACAATACATTATTTTTAACATGATATAAATATAAATACAAGTATTTTTTCTATTCATATTTATTTTTTCTAAATATTCGAAATTGTTATAGTTAATATTACATTTATCCATTTTCTCATCATTGGGGAGGTATTAGTTGGTTACATGGATTCTACATTATTCTTACAATTCTATTTGTCGTTCTAGCAACGCCGCTCGTGCCATCTATTGCGACCCTCTCAAGGACTACATTATTATTTATGTTTTTTGTTTTAACTTTTATTTTTTACTTCATCCGTATCATAAAGGTGTAACCCATAAATAAACAAAAATAATTAGATTTTCGTAACAAAAAATTCCAATAACACCATGTCAGCCTTCCTTTAGGGGTTGAATTTGAGAGGGAAGTAATCGATATGTTATTTCTAGACCAGAACTACATCTATGTAAAGTTTCAGCTCAAATCCGTTCAGTAGTTATGGCATGAAGGACTAACAAATATCCATCTACTCAAGCAAACTTTCGCATATATAATATTAATAGGATTACTTTGTGACAATAGTAACAAAACAAGTTGTATGCAAAATAACATTATACCCAGTGTTGTGTTTTATCTAAATATTTATATTATGTATGTTTTTTTTATTATTCATCTTATATCTAGATAAATAAAAAATAGGTCTCGAGTCATATCTGAGATAAATAATAAAATAATTTAGATACATTTTTTCAAATTTTAATTTATATATACATATATATTATAAATAATATGCAAAATTTGTAATTTACATTAATATCGTTTAATAATAATTACATTTTTGAGTTACATCAATCACATAACCTTTTTCAAATCGAGATCTGGTTCATTTTTATTATATTTAACACTTTCAGTGTTACAGTTTCATGAAAGTTAATGGACAAAATATAATCTTATCTTTTTTTCTTTTTAGATAAACAGTTACTAATTATTAATAGTCACCTAAATAATTACTTTAACAATTATCACTTATTTGTATCTATTTATTTTAAAATGTATCTTTATGTAACACAGATTATATAGTTACAAAGGTACAAATTATTTACACTGTGTTTTAGGGCTTGTTGAAATGAGCGGCCAGGAATTAGGCCACATTTTATCTACCTGCATTGTAAACAATATTTGTTTATCTACATTTCATTACCCGGGTGTTGATAGTCACAATTAATGTGTAGTACAGAAATATATAATTTAAAATATATTTGAACTTTCTTTTTTTTTTAAGATTCTGAGTTTAGTGAATGGTATTGGTCTTACAGATTATTTTTTTTAAGCGATCACTTTTTCTACTAGAAAGTTTACTCCGATTATCAAGTACAGCACCTTTTCTGAAAGGTACTTATCTGTGTAGTGCTTTAGAGAGGTCCTTTTTTTATTATTTGTATACATAAAATTAGTTAAATAATTATACATTTTTCCTCATACCCGATGATTATTACATAAAATAAGTTTTTAAAAAGACATAAATCATTTTTCCCCTCAAATATTTAAAAATATAATTAGTAATAATGTGATACAAATTTCACAAATTCAGATCTGGCGTTATTCCCTTATTTTTTAATTTCATTACGAATATAATTCATTCGAATTATAGTCAATTTTTTCGCTTTTACTGTAAGAACCTACACTTCTAATTTTAATATTATATGTAACCGATTACAGTTGTAAAAACCTTGAAAATTCTGTATCATTTAATATTGGACAATTTATCACCTTCTGATAAGGTACCCACGCGCTTCTAGTAGAGTGTTATAAATATTATACTCGTATATTATTTTTTTAAAGACTAAAATTCATTAAAATATCTTGGCCCAGTTACTGGATTCAATAATAAAAAAAAAATCGTTAAAAAATTATCCTAATCATCTGTTCCACAGGCTGGAAATGTAAAACTTTAGTGTCCTAATTACCGCATAACTTTTTTTCAAAAAGATTCATGTGACCTAATTCCTGAACGACTGTCCAAATAACAGATAGGAATAGGTAATATAATCAATTTAAAATATATAAACCGGAGATAATAATATTCGGCAAATAAACTATTTATTTTTAATTTTGGACGTATTAAAACAGATTTTCGACGTCAACGCGTAATATTGATTGAATACGTATGATTTTAGTCGAAATTTCGTAAACAGTTACAAATAGATATATTAAGTATCTACATTTTTTTGTACCATTTGTTTGCTTTTCGCGATTTGACAGTCGATGTGTTGTTTATATTTCTGTGGCATTCCCTAATTCAAATACGAATTTATGCGGTTTTTTTTTAAATTTATAAATAAATTCACGCAGTATGGAAAACTTTTCACCATAGGTATTTTTATATTACTATGTTTTGAACGTTATTTCAGTATGGTTTATTAACAGTGAACAGTCGTGTAGTAATAGTACAAAAAAATTAAAATATTCTCGAAATTCTTTTAGTTTTTCTAAAAGTCGCTATTATAGGTATAAGGTATAGTTTATTTTGTCTAACAACAATGAATATTTTATTTACGAATTATATTAAGCGAATAATTTTTTTTTCTTTTGAAAAATTTGTTTAGTGGTTTACATTTCATAAATTCGTAACTAAAAATAAAAAATTCTACGATAGTAAATTGCAGTACTATATTAAGTCAATTTTTAAATTTAAATTTCTCTCGGAATGGTATTTTATAATTTTTTTGTTTAAATTAATGATATTTTGAGCATTGCAAATAGTGTATATTAGTTTTACTATGATGTGTTTTTTTTGTTTGTATATTTTTTATGTCTCTTAAAACGTTTTGATTTTCCTTGTAGGTAGTTTTTTAATGATTGAGAAAAACTAGAAAAATGAATAAATATATGCAATAACGGTTTTTTTTATTTTCGATTTTATTTTTTTGTTGTAATTCAGTAAACTGACTGCTTGGAATAATATTTTATAAGTACTCTTTAGACTCATAAAATATTTTAAAAATCACAAATATTTTGAGAATTTGATGATTTTTTTTTTTTTTTTTGTTTTTATTTGGTTTTTTCTAGATAAAATTGTTTCTACTCAACAAAAACGCTCGGAAATTTAACATGAGGTTCATCATAAATGCACTATTAATTCTCCTCTTTCAAAAAAAAAGTTGTAAAAAAACTCGTGTATTGTTTTTTTCGTGTTAAGCGTTTAAAATTCAAATTTTTATGAAAACCGTCAAATTCACGTAATTTCAAAATATGAGTAACAAGTATCTAAGGTTTAACATTTTAACCACGCCTCTCTCAAAATTATTTTTCATCAACAACGGTTTTAATCGTCTCGTACAGATATAAATTAAATTACCCTATACGAATTCTTCTTCTGGTCGTATTTTTGTTTAAATCGTCTTTGCGTTATCTACAAGCTCACGCGAATCTCCGAAATTCCGCAGCTGAATAATTAATCGTTTTGAAACATTTATCAACTTTAATCATCAATATAGAATGTAGATCGCATCATTTCCTATCGATTTTTAAACCAAACCTAGTTTACTAACCGATCTAATTAACGCTTGTGACGAAATTTGTAGTTATATTCGTTTCATTCATCCATTGTTTCTATGGTCTGCCACTCGGCCTTCTTCCTGTTGATGTCCATTCAATTGCCGTCCTAACTTCCATTGGTTTTTTCTGTTTTAATTTTGTGTCCTAACAACTAAATTCTCAGTCTTTCACGTAGCTTGTTATGTAAGTTACTTTGGTAATTTCCCTTATTTCTCGCTCGTGTTTCTTCTACCCCGGTTATTTAACGCATAATCGAACACATATTGCCATAGAACTTAGTACTTACAACTTTATATTCATACTCCATATTAAATTATCAGCGTATATAATATCACGTAAATATTGTTATGAGTACGATATTATCAATTTTAATATGCGGCCCAAATAGTACAGGGTACTATGGGATAGG